ACATATACTCCCTATGTGAACCAATTTTGCCAAAGTTCACTACAACAAGTACAGATTCTCAGCTAAAACTCTTCTTATCTCAACATTCCACCGCATTGTTACAGTCCATCAGACCAAAAACAAAACGATTTTTTCAGTGAATTCAAAAATTTTAAAAGTGCATAAAGAATACACATACACAGAGACACAGAGAGACACGCATACACCCTACACTCCCCATTTCCCTGACGCCAGAAACAAATATAATCTTGCTTGACCTCAATTCAATTTAAATGGATTTAAAAAACAATGAAGTTGGGTAATTCCATGCGACGGACAGGAATTATACGTGTATTAAACATCAGGGCCATCACAAAGGAAGTTATCAAAGCAATGCTCACGTAAAAACATTATTTCAAACTCCCGCGAAGGGATGCATTTGTTTGTTTCTTTCAAAGTAAAGAATGATGCGCACTATGATTGTTTTTTTCTGTTTTCATGACTGCAAACTGGTAGCATTCTTTTGCCTTTCCGACACCAGTGAAAAGGGTAATTTAAATACAATATGTATTTTGTAGACACTGTACATATGCAATAAAGTAAAAATAGATAACAGAACATTCCCCGCTCCTTGAAAAATAGCTTTTCTGATCATTACTGCATAATTTGAAGAAAGGGCAATGTGTCACGATATAATTTCTCTGTAGTAGGCTGATAACGCTAAGCACATAATCATAACCTGCCTGGGTGACGTGTCAAAAGTGTATGAGTAGTAATCGCGTTACCTCCTACACATGAGCTCTTATGAACAATGATCAGCAGCTCTTATTCCATCAAAATATTCACCGGAAGCAAAGTAAAATAAAAGTATTGCACTTTACCAACTTTTGAAACAAGTTGAAGAGCTACAGCAGCCGAATGCAGGCAGAAACGCATAGCATCGTTTTTTCCGAAAGAGGGACACAAATGTGAATTACAACGACAGAGCACTGGGAATTACAAAACATCATAAATAGCATTGTAGCGCACACTGTCATTTTTCGTCTGAATTTATTTGCTAATAAAATGCTCAATCGTCATGAGTGAGACCAAAAAACAAAAGTTTGGCACGAAAGCATTGCCCACTGTCGGTAACCATATCTCAGTTCAATCATATAAACCTTAGATTATACACAAACATTAATAGAGCTCAGTGGAATGAAAATTTGTGTAGATGAAGTAATTTAGCGAGCCTCAAAAATTTCTTAAATTCTTATGTGTCTTCTTGTTTATAAAAACTCGCTCAGAAGCACTTCTCCTTGCCTGAATGTGCTCTTCCTGGCAAAAGTCTACCAACATGGCCGTTTTTGCAAACATTTTAATCCCACCAAATTCTGGCACTTTCTTGCTGACATCGCCAAATCACTTTAGTAGGATTACTAGTAGACTATTACAATAAACTTAAATATAAAGAGCGTGCTGCCTATCAGTACAAGAGACCGTGGTTAAGCTAGCACACGACCGTTATTCAAAAATAATATACACTCCTGAGAAAAACAACCCGACACTTCTTTAAAATGCTTTTGAGCCTAATTTTAGTGCAAAAGATCTGCATGTCATCTTGAGAATTTAGGGATGCTAGAAGACTCTGGCCAGTGAAGATGTGTAGTGATGGGACAACAGCTATTTCTTCTCGTGCATTTTTTCTCTAGTTAGTATCTGTGCTGTACATATGGTAAATTATAAATTAGGCCGAGACTCCCTGGAATGATCCCCATATGCTTTAAATCAGAGACTGTGTTGACAGGATTGCCGGGAAATTAATACAACAGAGTTCAGGACTTATTTTGTCTTACAAACAGGCCCACCCATACGGTGCATCAGGTACACAGATGAGGTCTTTCCGTATGTTCATAGCTTGTTCAAAGAACCAAAGTTCATCAAGGCCCCTCCACCTGGCTGTTTCTATCGCTGAAGATGGACCATTTTTGAATTTAGAAACGGGCTCATATGGCTTTGTTGACTTCACAAAGCCGGCGAGCTCCCGTGTGGGTGATTGAGGGAAAAAAGATGCCATTACTTGTCAGGCCGAAGTCAACCAGACTGTAAAAGCAGTAGTATGAAAATGTGGCAGGGGTGCATAAATTGTGATACAAAACTCTTTCTAGCTTACTGTGTCTTACGTAATTATTGACCCCACCGGTACAGCACAGATATTAGCTAAACGCCTGGGCACGTGTTCTGCCAGCATTCTGCTGCTGATTGACACAACCGTGAGGGATTTGACTTATCAGTCAGTCCCATAACATTCCCCGGTGTGCCTTCCGATAGATACTCCAGTTTTGAAATTTCGGCTTTTTTACTTTCCTTAGGTATTAATTTCTTACTCGGAATAAATTAGCGTAATCGAGGGTCTACAGGTGTAGACCCAAATTTGATATAAACATTTAGGTGAAGTCTATCAGGCCGTATGGTGAGTAAATATGTAGGCTATAAAACGGACTGTCTGATGGCACAGTGTGAATCTTACACGGCTACTTTGTAGTGGCTGATAGATTTTGGCCCAGATATTCATATCAGAATTTCGACCTGCGCTTGTAGACTCTTGAATAAACTGCTTTATTCTAGGTTGCCAATTAATTTCCGGTGAAATTAAAATGCCTCATTATTCGTCCTCTTTCAAACAGAGAGTAGGACATAAGCGCAAGGAGTTTGTTGAACGGGAATCAAAAGCATTCTGGGATTTTATCTGGAGCTGGCGATTTTGACTTGTTACACGAACAAACCTCACTCCATAAAGTATTTGTCGAGATACTGAGGCTAGGTTTTTCAGGGCGAAGATGCCGACTTTTTTGTACTTAACTGCACTGGAGGTAATTTCTTAGCTGATAACCTGTTCAGTTATTATTTGCTTCTTACAGTCATAAATGAAACAAATTGTATAACATGTAGGAGCTACATCCATCACTCTTTTTAGTAGTGCGAGCGAAATGAGAGCCTTGGCCTCTCGCGGCAGAATCAGTATAAAGCATGAAATGGCATTTATTATAAATATTCATATACAGAGACTGTACGTTTCTCAAAATAGTCGACAAATATGACTAATACATTATATCAAAATTGGGGGTGAAAGTTTTCAATGAAATCTATCTCAGTGATAGTTGGTGCATAAGGTTGTGACGATGGTGATGAGGCTGGCGGGGGCTAGGCGGTTCGACCTCCTCTATCGTATACAGCGTTTCTGCGCTGTGACAATGGGGGTCAGGAGCTTTGAGTTCATTTTCCCACCTTGCCAGAGCCGCATTTCCAGTTGCATCCGGTTTATACAGACTGTGGCCCACGTGTACAAGAGGAGGATGATGATAGCGATGACGCTTATTGTCCTCCGAGTCCATTGACTTTGTCCTGCCTGTTGCGAGAACCACAAACAGAAAGGCAATCGTCGTCAGCACTGCTGAAATCCGACAAAGATAATCGTAAAAAATCCAGTCCGGCGACATCAGTAAATGCACAAAGTATAACCTTCAACAGCCCGTTTCGGGTATTTAAATGATTCGGGCGCGCTCCTAAGGTCATCCAATAGTGTAAGACAGAAAGAAAGAAAGAAGACAGCAAATACGGTGCTCCAACTGATGGCGCTTTCTGCTGACCTATCATTTTTTTCTTAGCTGTAGGTGTTACCTTGACGCATAAATTAAATTACAGGATCATGTTATACAAATTATTTTCCAATTCGTCTTGACAGATCATTGAGTGCGTCATAGGTCACGTTTGGTCACGCGTGGCGTTGTTGAAAAGGTGCAGTTTTCTTTAGAGAGTGTTGAGACGAAAAATGGATGAAGAGAGATGTAAAAAGATAACACCGAAATGACAGACCACATCTTTCATTTCCTTTGATTACGAAGAATTTCTGGCTTTTTGAGTGTCCTCACTTAGTTCTAAATGAAAACTGCAGAATAAGTGTGTAAAAGTTCGATATGACAAGATGCACAACATTTTTTTTATATTTCCGTTAGAGAGTTATGAAGGTTAACGGGAGTGCAGGTAGGTAAAACCAAAGCGAAAGGATAATTTGTCAATTAATAAACTAAAAACAACTGAAAAAATAGGTCGCTTTCTGAAACTTTTTGGTCTGGACCTATGGAGCTTTGAATATACTGATCTACTCAGAGTTATAAATTAATTTCTGAGGAAATTTAAAAAATAGCTGAAATCATTTAGCTTATCATAACCACAAGCATGGTCAGACAACAAAAACACAAATAGTCGCCAACACACACTACAGATGTTTTACAGACGTGGTCTATTAAGTAGGTTGCTTCAACCTATTTTCAGGTGTCATTTATGTGTCTTTTCAACTTCGGCATGCATATAAAGCCTTGAGATCACTTCCCTGAACTCACACTATAAGGTTATACCCAGTTTGTCTGAATTGATACTTGTCAATCTTGTTTCCTGTGTCGGGAACTAGTAATATGGTAGATCCGCATAACTGCCACGATTAAATTACATCCGACTGCCATACTTAGGGGACTGTAGTAGCCATCGGTGGTATTTCAAAAATATGCTATTCCAGATCTAACAAATATAACAGAATTTGATAGCGGCAACGAATTTGGTGTCTGCTCTTCGATTCCTAATTCTGAACTGCAGCCTAAGCTGAGAAAGTGTTAACTGTGACATGGCAAACATAAAAGAAAGAACATGGCAACGCTGATACAAATGGACTGACGAAATAAGACGCCAAGTTTTATTACGAATAGTGTAGACAAGGAGAAAATATAACCAATCAGGCTTTCTTTTGGTCGTTCTTTCTTTTTTTAATTTTCA